TCTTAGTTTTTTTTTCAATCAATTAATTAGGTACACCTATATCTTTTTATTTCAGAAAAATCAGAGAAAGAGAGAGAGAGAGAGAGAGCAAATGATGAAAAACTAAAAAAAAACTCCAATTTTAAAATTTGACATTCAATTTAATTAACTCATTTGGTAGTTACTTAACTAAATTCACTTATTTCCATAACATAACTCTCTTATAAAGTAATATTTGAATAAATTATTGAGCAAATTGAATGTGAAATTTAAATTAAAGATTTTCGTGCAACATTGAAATAACAAAAAAGTTGCATAATTATCCGGAAAGCTAAAAAACATATTTCTGAAAGCATGAAATATCAAAAAGATACTGTTATATACCAGAACTATAAATGATCCAAATATTCTTAATGATAAATGAATTCAAAAAGATAATTTGATCACTGTCACTAATTACCGATTAAAGGATAATTTGACCTCATCTATCAATTCGTTACAATAACTGATAGATCATTTTCATTATTTAATGCTATGGACAGATCCTGTAGATGATTATTTTTCCTGTAAAGTGTTATTTCATTTAAGAAGTTAACAATAAATCAATAATTCATTTATAAGCATTGAATATTTTAGCAGTAATATTACATTCGATGAATTACTTATTGTGTCTCATTATTGCATATTTTATTAGCAATTGCAGGAAAATGAAGAAAATCGTGATATTATTTGAGTGCATTTTACTCCTACCATCTTATGAGACCACTTTTGATTGCTGTTTCATATTGAAATTTCCAAGTAAATATTTGTTATTTTCGAAGTAATCTTAATTCTATCATGAATCTTCTAATTTAATATTAAATCTCAAAATTAAAATTAAATTTAAATTTACTTTAGAATCATTTTGTGAAGTATTATGCAATAATCTTGCTAATAATATGCTCGAACTTCAACTACCAACATCATCGTTTGCATACGCTAATCCTTATTTTCGGCTTCCTCTACCTGTTACTAATCAAATTTATCAGGTAATCTTCATTGATTTTTTGCCAATTATACTTGTCATCTAATAAAATGAAATACTATATCGATTAAAATTAATTCGAGAAAGTGATGAAAAATAAAAATGGTGAATTGTTTGGAAAGAATTCCGATCGTTTCTTTTTGATAATTTCGGAAAGAGCATTCAAAAAAAAATGAATGATATGGTATTTTAATATGACCTTTTTTTCCTTTTCCATTTTGTTGAAAAAAAAAATTCGTAAGTAGAAGAAAACCGTTGAATGCTCCATTTTTTGTTAACGGAGATGGCCCATTCCTTTCACTTTCTTTCACATTATTTTTAAAACTTTTGAATTATATATTTTCACTTTCTTTCACATATTAAAGTTTCAATTTTGAATTATATAATCATGAATTATATATTTTATGCTGTCTGTATTTTACATAAATATTAAAATAGGATTTTTTGATTGAAGAGGCAAAATTTGTTGAAAATTCATGAAATTATATTATCAAAATTTTTAAACTGTTTGAATATGATGATAATATATCGGATACTTGCTATTATTAACTTCTTGTTGCATAAATGTATAAGATCAAAGATAATACTGCTAGATATCATTAAGTTTATCGATTTTAGATTAACCTATTATTGGATATAAATTTTCAATTAAATTTATGGATTTTAGATCAATCCATTGCTTCAACATATTTCGCCTGGCCACACAATATCTCCTCAAATATCCCGTAACTATCCATCCAGATCACTTCAACAATCTCATATATCATCGATATCACAACATGAAATACTATCAGGAGAACAATCAAGACCTGCTGTACCGGTAAAATCATTCGGTATCACATCGTCGTACAACAAACAACAGTCAAATTTTGCAGTATGCATTAATTTTTTGGATTGATGGAGGGAGGCAAGGTATGATGCATCAGATTTGCGTTCAGAACAGAATATTGGTATTAAATGATCACAATTACAGAGCAATATGAAACTTTTCTACAACATTAAAAAAAAAAAAAATTCTTTTTTGTAGCAACAAGAAATGATACGATCAATGAAGAAATTAAAATTTGGAAATACTGCAAGAAATTCCATCGAGGTATGCAAAAAAACAAAAGTGAAAAAGAAAGAAAATTATGACAGTGCACTTATCATCTATCTAAAACTTTCAGAAATCTTGGAAAACTTTTTTCTATCCAAAACTCTCACAAATCCTAAAAAATTCTTATTTAGTGTTTTAAAATTCTCTGACGCAGAGAATGATAGTAAGATTGATTCATGCGTATAACATAAAAGATTAAGTCGATTGTTTGTATTATTACAAATTTACATGAGAGGACGTGAAAATGAATTGAACGAGAATAGTACTTTTAATAGGTTTTAAACATTTTTCTATCGTAATATAATAAGACTTCTCATCTGTGCATTACTTACTGATCAATTTTGATAAAAATTATAGAAGGTAAAAAATGTGAAAGATGCGGAATTGGCTGCCTTTTTGGACGCAATTGAAGAGTTTCATAATCAAACGGCTCAAATACATGAACCTATCAAGCCGATACCAATATCATCTCTTATCATTACCAGTGATTCGAGATGCAATAATAACAAACTTAAAATTATTATGCTTGAGGTAAGGTAAAGTGAAGTTATTCACGTGACAAAAACGTGATGCAATTGATCTAAATTGAAAATTTTCTCTTTTCGTACTTTTCTATCTTTATAAATTTATCTTTCCCAGCATAATTCATATCAAAATTTCTCGGGTGCATTTTATAGCAAATAAAGAATGTTGCATTGTCAATATTGAACAATTTAGGCCGTAAATCAAAATTTCGAAATTTTTAAACATAGAATCCTTTTGGAATTTTGAAATCAGAATTCCTCTAGAAGTTTAACATAAATTTAGTAAAGCATAAAACTTTTTTGGCCAAAACAAAAAAAAAATTCTCACTTATATTTGACTGATAACTGCTAAATCTCATAATTAATCGGTTAAAAATGATATTGCAGAATATTGGAAGAGATTTGAATACATCAAAAAAATTGATTCAATTAGCAACTGAAGCACAATTTGGTGGTCACTTCAACGTAATATGTTCCTACAATAATTTTTCATTCCTGACCAATACAAAATTATTCTGTCAGGCTACTAAAGGTGATGTGAGCTGTTATGCTTATAGGGTACTTTTATAATCATTGTTAAGTAAGGATTACAGTTTGTCTTTTTGATTCATATCATTCGGGTGTTCGCAGTCATAATAAAATATATGAAAATAAAATATATGAAAACTTGTAAACATAAAATAAAGGGTTTTTGGTTTCAGAATCGTCCATTCAGTTATTAACTGAAATTCAACAGATGTTATGAGAATTTATCCGGGAAAAATTTAATGATTTTTTAAATGATAGAGAAATTTTCTAATTCCACATCAATTTTTTTTCTACGGTAAACTACAGAATCCTTTGATATTTCTTTCCACAGAAATTATCAACAATATCAATCTGATTTTGTAATAATTGTAATTCAGGCTTAAGTAAAAATTAAAAAGATATATCCCTGATATCTCAAAAAATGCATTCTGCTTAAGCAATACAATGATGAAGCACATTTTGTTTGAACGGATACTTTTCTTGACATCAACTACAACATTACTGATAACACACTTCTCATCCCCCATTAAGATCTCGTCTTTTTAATTAGTATTAATTCATAATCCTATTAGCAATGAACCGTAAAATTTTTGCAAAAAACAAGTGAATATAAGTCCAAATTTTATATTTCAAATTTGAATTGTACAAACAAACACATTAATCATAAAGACTATTTTGAAATCTTCATGTGACAAGAAATAATGAATTTCTATTCAAAAAAACTGAGGTACAAAATAAAAGAATCTAACAATTTTATTCTGCAAACGGCTAATTATTTTTAATCATAGACAATCAGTCACTGTATTACTCATAAATTTCATTTGATCAGCTTTCATCAAAGCGCATTTTGCATGACAATATGGAAAAGAAACAATGACTGCGTAAGCTTAACGAAGGATTCAACAATATATTGAAAGGAAATAATTTGGAACATAAAATATAAAATAAATAAGCTTGTAAGTTAAGATATATTGAATGAGATAGACTTACTATATATATATACAAAAAACCACAGTGAACATAATTCGAATTTTTAGAAACTTAAAAAAATCAAATAGATAACTTCATACAAATTTTAATATTTAGAATTCTCATTAACTAAAATTCTGGAATAAATTTCAAATGTAAATTACTTTATATACTTAATCCCTGACTTTTATAATCCGCGGAAGAAAAGTTGTTTAGGAATATAAAATGGTTTATAAGTGTAACCAAATTCATACACTCGTATATTCCTTGAAGATTAATTAATCAGATTAAAAGACAGTTAATAATTTCGATTTTTTGGATCGTATGTTTTGAAAGGTTGAAAATAGCTTTTTCAACCACCACCTGAGATCGTAGTTATGAGAGCTTTTTATTTTTGATTGTTTTTTCTTAGAAGTTACAGAAAATTCGAAATGATGCTTATCCACTGTTGAATAATGACACTAACTAGCATATCCTAAGGTTATTTAGTAATGTAAAATTGGAACTAACAGCAACCGAGCAACTTACCAATAACATCAACCATAAGTTTCAGTTTGTCTTCGCGCAAATAATGCTGAGGCCAGAACTTCTTTGCCAGGATGGTTCCTAGCTCTAAAGCTAATGTATCACGTACCGCTGCATCATGAACAGCTGCACGAATTCCGGATTCGTCATTAGTTGTCTGAATTCCCGCATCAACCAATGTATGTTTTACGCTCAGTGATGAAAACTGATCCTGATGTGAAGAATTTGATGAGCAGTAATCATCTGCTTCCTGCGGGTTGTTGTTCGAGCTATTTCCGACTGCATTTGAAAGCATCTGTTGCAGTAGTAAATTTAGATAAACGTTCATAGCTGAAGCACTACTGCCATTAGCTGAACCATTAGTGGTCATTTGTAAAAACTGATTGAATTGCTCGGATATCTGAATAGAATCTCCTCGGAACAAAGAAGGTATGTCAACTGATTCCTCTCCTACACCTCTATCATTTTCTTCTTGTTCTATTTTCAAATGACTGTTACAGTCCATTATCTGAAATGTTGAAATCAGCGATACGATGAACATGACTGAAACGTAAAATATAACATGAGTGAAGCAATGATATATCACGTAATACAAATAATAAAATTGAATTCATAAAATTCTATTCTTTCGAATATTTCATAACGTAATAAAATTTACAAAATATGGGAAATAACAAAACTTTGTCAATTTTGCTGACTGTACAAAAAAACGAATAAGAAAATATTAACAAATACTTCTTGAAGCTCTAATATTTCAATAAATTGTTTATACCAAAAAATGAATTCCTACAGTACAGTAATGATAACACATTAGGACTAAATAGACTTTTTGATAAAAATTATATTTTATAAAATACCCAATCATCTTTATATCTCTTATCTTTTCATCTTCTATCGGTGTACTTTTTTCATTAAATAGAAACAGCAGCAAAAATTTTAAACCTGATGTTTTATTGGTAATAATCCGTTTCCACTGGAAAATTCCTGCTGCTTTTGCCGATTCCAGTAACGCTGAATGTATCTAAAACAAAATAATCAATTACTTTGCACCATTGTACTGCACTTATACAAAATCAATGAATTACCTATAACCCATCAACTACTCAAAATCGTCGTTTCAACATAAAGTCAGGTAATTTTCCCTATGGCATTGAAATGCTGCGATTTTATTGCATCTTTACACTATCTGTAATCTTTTTGTGTATAATGTCACTTTGTTATTCAGCTAAAAATTATATTCGAAATGCCAAACAAAAAAAAGAATGAAATATATAATGTTTTACCGTCTTTCAGCAGCATAACTCGTTTTCGTAGCCTCACAAACATCATGATATTGCATTTCGAGATCCCGAGCTTTTTGAATTATCTGAGATGGTGAAACATTACCCTTCTGAGCCAATTCTCGAAGTAGAGTACGTCTTCGTCGCTTCTAAATAAAAAAAAATTGAATTAGAAGGTATTTGTAAATGTATCGATTAAAAAATTATTCAATTTTATTAAACGAAAAAAAACTAACAAATTCGGCATCGAAATTTGGTTCATGAACATGTTCGCTAACAATTCTCACATTCGTATCATTATAATCGGTATGCAGACGTCCTTTACATTTCTTCTTGATACAACTAAATAAACAATAGAGAAAAATAATAAATGTTACTTCTTATCAAGATCCAAAACATTTCGATAACGCAAGCATACAATACTGGTAAGCCAAGTTGTATTATGTGAATTATCTGCGATTAAAAACAATTACCGATAAGCTTTCAAATTACGCGCTCGATCCACTCGAACTTGACGATGTTCATATCCTTTGAAAATGATCAATGGTCGCCCTCTGGCAGTTATATCTAACGAAAATGAAGATGTCCCCGCGCTGATTGATCCCTTATTGTCTTCATTGTCGCTGAAGCAAAATATTTCAAACAAGAAAAAAATGTGACTAGAAATTGGTTATTGGTGAAATTAAATGAACCAAACAGTAATGAATCCAACTTGATCTGCAACTCAAATAATACAACAGTTATCAAATGTGTCCAAAATTAATCAAGATAACAAAAGCATATGCATGACGTACAATAGCTCATTTGTAAAAATGACGTTGCCAGAATGAATTCCAAATGACCATTATAATTTGTCGTTTGAGAATTCAGAATAAAAAAAGCTCAAGCAACATTTTTTTTAAAACTTTCCCTACTGAAAAAAAAAATTTCCCCTTCTGATACATCACTTGAATAAATGACGGAAAAAAAAGTTAAACTGTACTTCTCTATAGGATAACCGCAATTCAGCTGATCTGTTGGCATGATTTCCCTGTGACCTTGAAGTACGACTTCAAGTATTGCCGAGTTTTAATCAATCTTGAATGCGTTTTTCCCAGGTTAACTTGTACAATTGTTCCTAGACGTTATCATAAGTTTTTCGTACAAAATGGATTGATAATAGAAAAAGCGCAAATTCAATCACTCAAATCAAAGAAATTCAAATCCATCGTTGCTTATTAATTAAAGTAGTATGAAATACCGAAAATACGTATCATACTACGTGTAAAATGTTCAAAATTCGACGAACTTGTATAACTGTTTTGGAATTATACATTAGAACTAAAAATCATACTGGAATTATATATTGGAAAACAATCAATCATCAGGTATATTTTCTTATAAACAACGCGTTTTCTGCTAATTCTTATAAACTCTTACAAAATATTTTTCCTCACATTCATAATTGCCATTAACCTTTGCCCTCTTCTGTTTGCTTCCTCCCACATTTATGGCAGTACAGTTACACTGCTTTTTTCAGTTCTATTCTCTTCACTGTCACAAAAACATCCGCCCTGTGCAGTTTTCTCTCTCATTCAAATTTTCAGCTAAGGTCAAACGAATTGATTTGAATCATGGAGATGGGTCAGCAAACGTTAATGTGATGCGATGGTCAATCATATCTTCAACTGATCATTTGTTTATTCAGTACACTATTATGAATATGAAAGATAGCTTCTATTTCAAATGGACAAGCTAAAAAAGAACGGTATCGGACAGTAAAATCTCTCAAATCATTAAAGCAAAGTTAAATATTCTACAATCTTCTCCCGCTGTTACTCAAATTTAAGGTAAAAAAGGGCATACATATGTATTGGCACCATTCGTAATAGTGTAATTCATACATGCATTTTTCATTTCAAATTTGCACGTAATAGGTTGCAGAAATGAAAAAATGATGCAAGTACAGCTGTAACTGATTGGATGACATTACTCTTTGAATTGCAACAACAATTTTTTTTTAGTCCATCTTGGGTAGGTAGCCATCGAGTAGTTAATCCATCTTGGGTAACTAGCCATGGAGTGACGGCCATCCTAGGTAACTAGCCATTGAGAAGTTAGCCATCTTGGATAGCTATATTCTGTGATTCATTTTGGACATACTTAGAGAAAGTTTGGACTCAGAAAATAATTTCGACTACATAGCTAACGAACAAGCGAGAAAAAACATTGAAGAAACATTTCACTTCATTGATATTCGTAAATCGAATTACATTACGATATTAAACATAAAATACTACAATACTTGTACTGCTATTACGGCCACTCACTTTCATACAAACATATACACAATTCATAATTTAATTCGTAATATAATTCGATTTAAAAATACCATCTTTTAGAATTTATGTATTCATTTCTGGAATACAGGAAAGTTGCAAATAAAAATAAGACGAAGAAGAAAGTGGCTATTGGATTGGAGTTTACTAGCTTAATTTCGTGATTGTAGATTGCATGCAAGAATAGACTGCATGCATGCAATGAGAGTGGATGTAAGCAGGAAGCGCTTTAGTTTCATGGCATTTTGCAAATAACGAGTAAATAATAGCGAAGTTGGCGGCGTATCGCTTGTTTGCAATGGTTGAAGTAGAACGGATACGGGAGGGAAGCTGTTGAAGGGAAGAGTTGTTTAAGGGTGAGGGGCGCAGTTGTGTCATCAGCAGGTGCCCCACTCTTCCATCCTATCACCGATATGTCCTGACATGAAACGAGAACGGGTTAGAGAAAGAAAGAAAGGGATGGAGAACATTTGCGCCCATAGCAGAGAATAGCGAGGCGAAAAGCGTCGTGAAGGATAGTAGTGGTTGGAGCGCACATGTCAATAGCAGTGTTGCACGATAGAAGGAACTCTCTATTGGCTGAGTGCGCATTTGCCCTACCCGCCGAAATGTGTCTCTCTTTCTCTCCCTCTTTAATTACCTGTAACCCTTGGATTTGTCCCGTGTCATACGACACCCCAGCAGCATTTGCGCCATTCTTGTCGGCTTCATTGGAGGGAACATAGGAAGAGTGTCGAGGGAAGGTGACGATAGATAATTGCGCCATTAGCTCGTTGTCTTGTCGTCTTCTCGTTGATAGTGGTGGTGCTTCAGTGAGTTTCGCCACACCGATTTTTAGCTCATTCTTCACCGATCTCTAATCATTAATCCAGGAGAAGCTTTTTCAAAGCGCTAAATCTTTTGGATCAATTGTGTTTCGCTTACGAGCGTCACGCATTGTTTTGCTCCCTCCCTTCCCTCCTAAGCATTCTATCACTCCATCGAAATTTAAATCTTTCAATTTCATTGAAATGATAAAAGAATAAATTTTCCTTAAAGGAAAGCAAAAAGATTCTTTCTGCGTGAAAAATATATGCGAACATAAAATGCTTTTTATTTTTACGATACGTGAAATAATATTTCCTCACACTGTGATAATTACATAATGTGATAGAATAGTGAATTTCGAAATAGCAATGCAAAATGATTGTTGATTTGAGAGATTAAAAAATGAAGCCGCCTCCGTTTGCTTAGATTCGAAAATCTTAAATTCTGTATTAAGTCAAAATGAATCTTACTTAGCTAACATTTTTTCTGCAATTATTTCCTTATTTTTTCCTAGATTACTGTGATGAATATGAACGAGAAATTCAACCAATTGAGTATTTACAATTAAACAATGATTTTTGCATTCTTCAATTTTATCATAGGAATCAAAAGTGAGCGGAATTGTCCATCGGATAGCATTAAGATAAATCGAGGAGATCTTCAGGCTTCGACTCCTCTGCTATCTCCATCGTACCATTCTCCTCTTTCTCTTCCTCATCTAATCGACCGCTAGTATTGTATCGATGAATGATCTGTATTAATATTATATTAAATATGATGTACATAATGATTGAATTAAAGCTTTTTATTTCATTCTATTCAATAAAATTCTATCAGCTAAATGATACTAAAATGTACATCTAAGGCATTTCGAATGTTACCAGAAAAACTTCATATATTTCAAATAAATAGATTTAAAATCATTTAGCTAATAGAATTTTTATTGAATAAAATAAAAATAATGAAATTTTGCCAATAAAAATTGTTGTGGTATTTTAAGTTGTTACGATAACAATGATATTATAATCATTACGGTAGCTAATAATAATTATAATAATAATAATAGTGCATTTTTGATAGCATACTTGCTCGAGATCAATATCAATCGGAAATAATCCATTTGCGCCCGCAATGGCATCACGACATTCCGAGTGCGTCTCCATTATGGCTTTAACAAAATTTGACAACTGAACACCGATATCTTGCACTGTAAATGCATATAACATAATTTTATCCAATTACTTGCAATTAATAATCAAAATTCTCATAACTGATCCAGAAATAATCTCTTTTGAAAATTTTCTCAGATTTTTTCATCTCTTTTATTATCAACTTTAAATGAAGGATTAAACTATGAAGCATTACACACTCTGTATAATTTAAAGTCAATCTTAAATGAGTATAATTTAGCGTTGTAAAAAAATATACAAACCATGTTTCTGATCCAATAATTCCAACTTTTCCATAACATCCTTTCGTAACTTCATGAATTTTTCATGACTATTCTGTCGGCAGCGTAGCATTAGCCTAAATGAACTATAGAATTAAATTTTTTAAGAAAAATTGAATTAAAGCATAGGATTAAATTTATAGAAAAAAAATTCACAAACTGTTTTTTTACGTGTACCTTGGAACTTTTATACGTATAGCTTAGAAGGCTAATGATTTCCATTAATAGAGAAATAGTGTTTTAAATGAAGCGAAATTTTTCAACTACATCAAATTTTTCAACCTTTTTGCTCTTGCTTTTTTGATGCCTAAAATCCGTTATATAAATTTTAATCAAAAAATGATTTGTTCATTGATAGGTATGGTAGAAACTTTAAAGTTATGGTGCGGAACAAATGAATGGAAATGTAGAGATGAATTATCAGGCCAATGAAATTAACCTGTATTCATAATTACCCGTTTCAACACGATACAAATGTTCATCGAAACTGGCTGCCTCGATTTCTTCATCATCCATTTCTTTCAACTTTAAGCAAAATGATAAATATTCAAATTTAGCATCTAAATATTTTTTCAGAGTTAATCTTGTATCTGGAATTGCTTTTTCGACGAATGTCTTCAAATCACGTACTATTGGATGCAAACTTTTCACCAATCTGAAATTTAAATTATATAAAATTCATTACAAACTCATGTGAAAAGAAAAATATGCTGATCTCAAAAAAAATTAAAAGAGGCATTGAAGAAAGAATATTTAAAGAATTGAATGAAATTTATTTTAAAAAAAAAAAAACAGGTAAAAACTCATATTAAGGAAATGAATGGATTGACAAATAGTATATAATCAAAAGATCACATATGTTAATTTGTTCAACCGTAAGTGTCAATTATATCACTTGATGATAATTAATATGCTATTTGTGATATTTGAGTAATTCATTTCATATTTCAATTCACTATTCACTACTACATTTTAATGCATTAAAAAGCTTTCCATTCTTTTTTTTCTGCATTTATAATAACATTATAATAAATATATCTATAATAAGCGAATAATACGATTAAGATAAATAATTGCTACATGAAACGCTAATTCATTTTATAACGATTGATATACATTTCAATTCAAAATTATTTTTCTCTTTCCTATTGCAATCAAATAATAATGATTTCATATAATTATTTATGAATCAAAATAATCAATTCTAAATAGCATAATTATTCAAGATTAAGATAAGTAAAAAAAAAAGGTTATAAGTTACTTTAATAATTTCTAAAATATTTTTTAATGTAAAACTTTTCTAATAAATAAAAGTTTTGAAACAGAAGATGATAAAATAAATAATTGACTTTACGGTATGTTTTTCAAGAGCTCGATGTGTATTGCCGAATGTTGACAATGCTTTATTGGTTGTTGGAGAGCTCTCTCGTGCTGCTATTTCACAGAATAAATCACCAAATTCTACAAATATATTATAAAATATAATTTTTTCAATGACATATGTTACTTTAATAATTCCCAAAACATTTTATTAGTATAAATCTTTCCTTTTTTTTAATTTGTAGTTTGCCATTATTACTCTCTTTTCAATAAATTTTGTCACAAATATCGGTCGAAGATATCATTTGTATAAATTGCTCAAATAATTGTTCTTGCAACATATAATCTCTTCAATGAAAAAGAAAAAAAATCTTCATGGCTTTTAGAACCAATGGCTAGCAATGAAAGCATAACTGATACAAAGAAAAGTTTTCAAATTTTCAATTCTTTGAATAAAATACGAACAAAAATTCTGCGAAAGAACGATTATTAAAATAAAGCATTCTCAGAGAAATACAATAGGAAACAAATTTGAACAATTAAATTTTGTTATTTTGTATAAAAATTTTTTGATTTGTTATTCGACGCTTTCTTGTTATCACAATGCATGTTGTTAAAAAATGTTAACTTGAAGAACTATTATCACAAATATTCATTCTATTAAAATAAATTATCATCAAAGATTCTCTATTTAAGATAAAATTTAAATAAAATAAAATAAAATTTGATCATAAGTTAAAATATCAGTTGATTTTTTCTGGAGCTAATGAAGAAAGTAAAGAAATGAAAACCTTTTTGAGTTCTAGCAATATGATAATGTGAATTGAGTAAAGCACTGAGATGTTTGATAAGTTTCTTATACAGTTGAGAGCAACGTTCCAAACGATTCAATTTTTGAAGGAGAAGATCGTTGCATAAAATTGCTCGAGACAATCCTAATGAATCAGCTGTTTCGGAAGTTATTGATTCAGCAACACGATGTTTCATCTTCTTTAGTGCTATATCTAATGTATGTCCCTGAAAATAGAAATAAATATAATACTCATTAAGCTAATGAATGAAATATTTGCATGTCAATTATTAGCGAAAATAATTGTTTTTAATTTCATGTTTAGCAAAAATAATGAATAATTTTATATAATTATAATATTAATGATACATCTACTATTTCAGCATGAAGGACATTGAAACCAAGTTTAACAGATCCTTCCGTTTCTTGGATCATCTTTGCAATGGCTGTCTTACTTTCTCCTTTTACCGGAATACCATTTACACTGAAATCAAACAAAATATGATTTAAATGGTAAAAATTTACAATGAAAACAAAATTTTAATTAAATGGTACAATAAATTATAATCATCATAGTATATCATAAATGCATCATAATTACATCATAATTGTTTCATTTAAGTAAACTTAACTCTAATTAATTTAATTAATTTCAATACTATTCACTTTATTACAACTTTCTTCATTCATGCATACAATAAAAAATTTACATCACTTTTGTGAACTTGAATTCAAATTTCAACTATTGCTTTAATCTCAACTAATTGATTAAATCATTTCAAATAAAGCTTCTACCTAACAATTTCATCACCCGCTTGAATTCGTCCATTTAAAGCCATCGGTGAATTCTCGAAAATTTGCACAACATAAATACATGGACAATACGGCGCACCTCCACCAATTGACACACCAATAACGCCATTTGCATCTTTCACAATCTCAGCAACATCACCACTTATTGACATTCCCAATCGATCTTCCTCCATCTGAAATACATTTACCATTTTATATTTTCTAATAGCATTAGAAATTATTCAAAATGAACAAAAAATAAATAAAGCAAAATTTAAGATTATCTAATCAAATGGGAAATTGAATCCACGAATTATCAATTTTGAATTTTACTGCTAGATTGAAACTTTCTGTAATTAACGCATTAATATCAGAAATGGTATCAATGAAAATTTGCATTAATTTTTCTCTTCTTCTACCTACAAAAGTCAGATAATTCTAATAGCAAAGAAAAACAAGCCGCATGATTAGCAATAATTTTCGGCAGCATGCAGCAGAAAAAGTAAGAAGGAATAAATTTAAGAAGGAATAAAAAGAAGGAAAAGAAATTTCCGAAAAAAAAAACTCCGGAATGAAAGAGAAAAAGAAATGTCCGGAAAAGAAATCCCCAAATGAAAGTTTAAGAACTCACCACCTTCCCTGTACATAAAACTACCGATTCATTTCGTTTTTTGAACATTTTCCAAATAATTTAATTTTAACTGACCAAAATCTGCAGAATGCAATCAAAAAACTCTTAAGCTAACTTTAATGTTTCATTTCGATGGTATTTATATGATTTAAAAGATTTTGCCAATAGATTAGTGTGGAAATAAAATTTACATAGATGACACTTTGAAGTCTTATTTATTTTAATTTTACTACTGCAACGATTAAATGATAACCTTTTAGGGATGAAAGAAAAAATAAAATAAAAAGATCTTGTCTGCTGTTCAAATAATCATAATCGATTGCTAAATTTCATCATTATGCATTCAAATTTATATACTCCCCGGCTGGAAATAAAATTTTTTTAAGAACAAATCTCAAAAATACTAAAAATTTTCCAACAAAAATGCTAAAAAAATTTTCAAGTTAGAGTATTGAAAATTCAGCCTAAAATATAGCTATAAATAAATTCTATTAACAAAATTGTCAACTTAATAAGATGAATTATAGATTAGCAAGAATATATAAATTGAATAATAATGATGTAAAAATAGAAGAAAAAACAAATGTAAAATCTTTTCAACAAATTATATTTTATGATATTGCGTTATAACATTAACATAAATCTTAAAAAGTTCAGAATTTATAGCCCTCAAAATTCTTTTTGCTAAGAAAATAACATATTTCGAACAAGTGGATATGTTTTTATAGCTATTTATTTTATTATTCTCCAATTCTCAACGAACCTAACCGCTGGAAATGAAGGAATGAAAAGAGAACGGACCTTGTTGTCTGTTGAAAATACTTCTGATCATGTGAAGCTTCAAATATGAGAAGCATTGCTGCTTCAACAGATATGGCAAGTAATCAATGTCTGTATGTGTATGGAGTGTGTGTGTCTGTGTATGTATGTATATGTATGTTAGATGCTAACTCTGCATACTTAGCTTTCAAAAAGTCTTGAAGAGTGAGCTAAGCATGACACAGATATAAGCATATCAGATATTTTGGGGCATCCGCTAGGACTGGCTGTGAAAGCAAAGCCATAGATGGAATTTCGCCAATGCTTTTTTTTTTTGATGATCTATATTCAACATCTCTCGCTATCATCTTTTCTAGTTACAGCCTTTCATTTATCTTTATTTTGAATTTCATCGAGTTTTATTTTGGTAATGTTATTGCTGCAATAAAATAACAGTCTTTATTGACCAAATATATCAATTTGATGTGGCCTTTTTCACTATAATTTGCTCCACTTTTAAAGTTAATTCTATCTATAAGCTAAATGTAACTGGTGATGTATTTTATGCTTTTCTGAATGAATTTATTCAGAAATATAAAATCATTTTATTTAAAGCATATCGAGGTCATCAACCTTTCATCACAACTTGAGCAACATTTGTTGATGTTATAAAACTTCCTGAGGAAATGCTAAAAATAAAATAAAGTAAAAAAATAAACAAAATCGAGCAAACGAACCAACAATTAAGGAGAATAAGTTTTGGATCGAATTTTAATCTACAAGTTCTTTTAAAATTTGTATTCCACAGATACTAATAAACTGATTTGAGGCATCCACTACTCCAAGGAAATCAATTCTATTTTTCACATATGTTAACTTGAGTTAACTACTGTTGACAATTCAAAATTCTATTCTTGAACAAATAGCATGAATTATTCAGCGGTTTCAGTGGCTTTTTGAACAGCAGAGCACACCTCGACCGTGCGCAACGCTGGATAATAAACATAAAAATTGAGGTCAGTACGAGCAAATGAGCCTGGATTAACGAACATAGTATTTTCTAATTGATATTGGAAATGTTCGAACTTATCCGCGATGACAACGAGATCCGGTAATGGGTATAATGTAAGATAGCTATCCATTTGCCAAAGAACAGGTGATATATGCAGAGGTAATGGCGATAAGTGTCCGACGGAAGCAATTGTATAACAAAACTGCAATATAATCAGTATTGTTATTTCCACTTTTCAAAAAGCTGTTTAGCAAGAAATGACAGCATTAAACTATGAACCGATCATATATAAAACTATTATGAAAATATTTTGACTTGCAACTGATGCATGATTTGAGATTAGTTATTTTACTAGATACCAGCTTCAGCGATATGCGATTTTGCTAAGTCAGTGATGGTAACTTATATATACATTTTAATCCAATCTAACAATGAAGAAAATAAGGAAAATTATTAACCTGGATAGTGAAACTCTTAAAGCTGAAGAAAAAACAAGTTATTTCTTATTTGTTTTAGAACAAAGAGTGAAAAAAAAGGAAAAAAATTCACGTGTTCTGGAATGTCGGCAGTGGCCGACGGCATATGAATACTATTTCTGCACATTTTTTCAACCATATCGTGACGCATGATGACAATTTCTTGACTGGTGTATTGTATACGGCATGGATTTGATGCAAATGAACAATTTGGTACATCTCTCATCAGCTCGAAAAGTTGAAACGGTAACGGTGGCCTGCAAAAAAAATGCTTAAATTAAAAATAAAATACGTTAAACTATATCAAAGACTAATACGATTTTTGTGTAAAGATAGAGTTTAATTTAGAAATTTCAAATATAAGAATCAAAAACCAGTAATTCTTTCAAAGTAGCAAACAGTCATGTATGGTTGATTAAAATACGTGAAGCATGCGAAACCGCAAAATAGAAATGAGATATTTTACAGAGGCTCAACACAGATGAATGTCATATGAGCATGACAATCTCATCACTATCAAATTTACTTTTCTATACGAGTCCATGTCCTCCGAAGTGGATTTTTAAGTTATAACAAAATGTTTCAGCAGTATATAAGATTGATAAAATACAGAATAAGGAGTAATATTCTAAAGTTCATCATAAATTTGAGAAATAATATTCATTAAATAGTAATCGATAAAGAATGCAACATATATAAATTATGTGTATAAGCAACATATATTCTATAAATATTCACCGTGGTAGTATCGAATTTAACGATGGATCATCTGGACCAGGAATGAATATAAAATGAACATTACGATTAGCAAAAACATCTTTTTGCAAAATAGCTGCCAAGCGACGAAATCCATCTGAAATTAGATTTATCCAAAAATACAACTAATGGGAAAGATGATCTGCCTATACGTCTCATATTTAGATAAGAAAATTGATCATTTAAGTAATAAATCTTGAACGCGGAAATATTGAATAATTTAGAAGAGCAAAATAATAAAAGAATGAAGTCACTTCCGTCAGAAATCTACGAAAGCATAGATAATTTGCGGAAAAATGTGGTATAATAAGAAAAAGCTATATTTTATTCTACAAAATGCTTAACGACATAGTGTGGAAAACAAACCATAAATGCGATCATATGCATCAGCTGTACCCACCTGAGAACAGAAATTACCACATATAACGAATGCAAGCAGCTGGGAATCTGTGAAGGCAAATATAAGCTCTTTAATTGCATTCAATATCTAAAAAAAAGAAGTTTCAACAGGAAGGGAGAGAAAAAAATTAGTTAAATCTTAAAAATCGATCTCTGGAATCCGACCTATTTACATATTGCAACTTTGGTTAAAACTGCAATTTGCAGTTTTAACAGTCGGCGCTTGGAATGGTTGCTCAGTGCCAAAGAAATATCATTTTTTAAGAAAGTATATAGAAGTCCTTACAATATTTCAAAAACTGCAAGTGAAGACACTGCCAAGATATTTTGATTATACCTTGAAATGCTCAAAAAACTAAAAATTGAAGATACTGAAGATAAGAAAAACAGCTTATTCACAAAATGTTATGCATTCAAGATTTACTTATAGGGACTTAACTTTTCTGTGTTTCAACCAACGTCTTTGAAAAGAGAGAAGGACTTAACCCTTGAATCATCCAGCCATACATCTGACATAAGGATGAACCTTGTTCTATCATTTCGTTCGCATAATGTTCGAAGTCGAAGTTGCGACCCACAGGCGACTGCATTCTCACCACCAAACCAGTTGGTTACTCCAAAGTAATTTCTTGTAATCTTGGCATTTTCAGTTGGTGCAAGACCTACAGCACTAACGCAAAATACACCACCAACATACCGACCCTCCAGCATCATTATGCAGCCATCAGTGAAAAGACCTTTGTGGAATGTCGCTTCTTTAAGATCAACTTCTATAGCACCTGCAAATTCTGATATGATCTTTCCATGCGACTGATCTATAACTGAATCAAAACATTAATCATACCCACTTATATATAAATGTCTTTAAAACTGAAGTTTTTCAACTCAATTAAAAAAAAAAAAAAACAATGTATTTGCCCTCACCTGTAAGATCTTCAATTTCATAAATGCCAGGATTCCTCTGAGTTAACATTCCTATTAAAACTGAATTGCCTGCCCTTTCTGGAGTGCCCAACAGAGCTTCTACGGAGCATAACTGATAATGCTCAAAAACTGAACTTCGTAAGGCACGCTGAAAATAGATTATAATTCACCCAACCTCTCAATAACATTCATATATTTAAAAGTCAAAAAACTTTCTCTCCATAAAACCAGTTTTAATACTAGCATACACTAATATTAACGCTATAAAACTGTCGTACCAATAGAACATTACGAAGAGATTAAAAAGTTCACTAGCCTGTACGACAAGCTTCAAGCGTTCTCTGTATAAATTCCTCGCATCACTACTTTGACCTATAGTGGATGCCTGACCATCTACCACGGTCAATGCTTTACGTTGTTCATCATATCGTAAACGTGGAACGGTGAACAAATCAATTATATGGATTAATGATTCTCTGCAATAGTAGAAACTGATTTTAGTTAACTCAGGGATATGAAAAAAGTTCAATTTGAAATCATGAATTTCAGTAATGAGTTAAGGCGAAATGAATTCGCATACTCCGTTAACTCACTAAATTAAAAAAAATTGTAATTTTCAGTAGTGATTCTCATCAATTACTTTACTCATTGCCACGAATATAAAGATTTCCTTTCGCCTTGTAAAATGCACTATTTACTCAACTGATGAATGCCTCCTGTCTAAACTACGTTTATTTCATCATTAAAGAGCAGCCGTTATCGCTAGTAGCTTGATTTTCGTATCTTGCTTATAATTTATTTCAGTTCGATGAGAGATAAATTACTGATTTCCATGGTCCTGCATGATTTAAATGAGCTATCCGAAAAACCGAAACAACTTTATAATCTAAAATATTTGTATAATCAAATGTCGTTATCTTTTAAAATCCATGTTGTAGAAATCCTTTGTACAATAATTCTCAATCAAATATGATAGGATATGCTATTACATTTGATTGAGAATTATTCAGCAAATTGTTATAATCAAAAACTTTCACGACAGAGGGACAGATAAAATTTTAATGCGAAAACTAACTGTTTTGAAGAACGATTGCTGACACATTCGGCAACAGCCGACTTGAATTCACTGAACGAAAGCACTGGCCCGCTTGCTGTAATTGTGGGAGGATAACAAAGCTATTTCTCCTAATCCACTCTTCAAATTAATATTTGCATAACTCTTACTTAATGTATATCTATATTTATAAATTCTCTGAAGATACCCGAAAACTGACAATCTCACTACAGCATCATTTCATGAGAATTTACGACCTCCAAAAGTATCTTTGACAATGAGTTTTCAGGTAAAACGATAACCCAATATAATGTGCACCATTTTAAAAAAAACATAAATATCGAGCAGAATAAAAATATAAATATTGCCATTTAAACATACCCTTCTGTTTTGACAACACTGCAGTGACTTTATTTATCCATCGAATTCGCTCCTCATCTTCCAATTCCACCAAAATTTGGAGAGCATATTCCATAGCCTCCCTGCAAACAGGCATTATTTGAATCTCTTCAACACTTTAAGTATTAAAGGAAAAATTTATGGGAATTATTTAAAAATTATAGAAAAAGCATAATGTGATATATGAATTTAAGTATAGACTCCAACAAACAGAAACGCTTACTTGCTTACTGTGAATGCACGCATCTGAAACGCTTTGCGGACTTGTTTCCTCAATTTCTCTAAATCCGACTCAGTCGGCATGAGTAAACAATGGAATAAGTCTAATTTTCAGCAACACATAAGTTTAAAAGGATGCACTTGACTCTGTAATATTACTTGTCATAACCAAAAGATGCTAATGAGAGAAGAGTGAAAGTTTGGGAAGCTAATGTGTATCAGTATCTTACTGATATCAAAGAAATAATCTAGCCAATAAAGAGATAACCAATAAAGAGGAATGAAAAACATTCATAATTAAACTTTACGCAAAGAAAATGAAATCACCTCATTTTCCCTTTTCAATTTCATTCAACTATGTCTTTATCAGTGTTGTTCAATGTTTGAATCGTTTAGTACTAATAACAATATTCCCACCCTTTATGATTTTTTTCTTTGCTTTGGCATATTTTAACTACTACCGTTTTTGGTCGTCTCAAATATTATGCATTTTTTAAGAATGAATACAGTTCTTCTTCAAAAACTGTGGAACATTGCAAACTTTCAATTTAGTACACCGTATAATTTATCAACTTATGAACAAAATCATGAACATAGAAGTTAATAAAGTAAATTGAAACAGCAGAACAGCTTGGGAAATGAAGCATGATTTTCGTTTCATCTAATTAGACTAAAATTAGATCCGAAGAATTGATATTATTCATTCTCAAATGATTTTTACAGATCTAGGTATAACATCTGAAGCACAAAATAGATATCATTATTTCCCAAAAATAGATGAACAACAGTAAAACTATTATCGAATCTCGCGGCGCGGTCCAGTCGGCACCATGAACGGTGGCCTCATCATCATTGGCGGTCCCATTGGAGCACCCATTGGTGGATAAGGAAATGGCATTGGACCTCGAACTGGCGGTCCGCCAACTGGTGCCATAATTGGTGGTCTCGGTCCACTTACCGGCTATAAATTTGATGAAGAAGGTATTTCAAATAAGTTATTAAAATCGCAAGTGAAAATTTCTAAACGTATGACTTATTTTTCATACAACAATTTTAAATCGCTGACATAAAATGAACGCCAAAATAATCGAATGAGATTAAATATTCTACCTAGGTACTCCATAAAACAGAACCTCACCTAAGATTACCAACACTTCTGATTGGAATAAGATGCAAAAACAAAACAAGTTTTATGTAAGTGAAACAAAGCACAGGCTCACTTAAGCTAATCTAAAGTGTCGACCATATTGCGTAGGAATGAATAAAAAAGACCTATTTACTAAAATAAAATAAGAAAATTGGTTCTCGAAGAACTCTCGCCTAGACTTTTTTTATTTGAAAAAAAGGAATATGAAAATTTCAATGTGTTCTATAAATGATCAACAGGATTAAAAAAAACTGGTCACTGAAAATCTCGAACTCGTGTCACTACCTTTTCCACATATGAGAGATTCTATTTACAGGGGTAGAAAAAATTTTAAACTTCATGCAAAATTTAAAAGAAAGGCACCATAGACATTCGAGAGACAGCTCCTTGAGTACTACCCATACGTCCTTGTGTAAACGCTCGCGCAGTGGCATCCACTAACTTCTGCGCCTGTTCTTCCATCCACTTTTGATAGAACATTCGCACATTTTCCTAAAATGCACGTTTTAAACCAAAACAGTCGCCAAAAAATACTAAAAAATTTTTTTGTTCAATTTTCGATTCTGATCCTCTAATCCACATAAACGAGCAATTTCAGCTGAATTTTAGAACTGAATCACTCAAAAACAATAGCACCGTAAACATCCCAATTATTGAAGCACTGCTCGTTTGACATTTATGGGAAAATTCCTCACTGAACCTTGTAAATAAATGAAAAAGTAACATTTCAGCTTGTACTATGTCTAAAACAGCCCTGAAGTTCTGAGCACCACTATAGATGCAAAAATGCATCATCTGCAGTGACTCAGTTTTCGTCTTTTATAAAAAACTTCATAATGTCAGCAATCAAATTCTCTTTTTGCATATAATAATTCGAACTAACTTTATGCTTCCGGCCACCATTGTGAGTTTTTCGAACAGATGGTGAGTCGTGCGTTAAGAAAGTGTCACAGTAATCACAATAATATTTCGGCATATCTCTAAATGAAACAATCTCTTGATTAGGCACCAAATATACTTCTATTTGCTCTTTCTCAAGCGTTTTTCAACTGCAATTACTCATACATCTTATATCAATAATAACGATTCATTCTGCTCACACAATTCAAAATAAATATTTTTCTGATCTTGTTTTTTTTGAAGAATTTTTTAAAATTCCTGCAACTAGTTTAAAAGCAAAAATCTGAAAGAAAATTTCTATGAAATATTCTAAATTTGAAAAATATCTTAAGTCGCATTCTTCACTACAAATTTTACACAAGTCTTAAAAGATTGAAATGAATGAAAGTGAAATGAGCAGAACAAATGTAGCAGCCACAAATGGGAGAAAAAAAAAAAGCTCAGATGAACCGGAACGTTTTTGAGATACGCAACAAACTAAAATGAAAAAATTGAAACTTAAAGATCCGTTGAAATTTCGATAAAAACCAGCCTCGGTACGAAAATGAACTTGTCCCACGCAAAAGCTTAGTTGTATAATTTAGCCGGTAGTGAATAGAATTGGCCAGAATATTCACTGGATCGGATTAATGATACCGTGAAGGAAATTAGAGAACGAAGTAGCATTTCAACAATAATGCCAAAGATTTAAGGACTAAACGGAGTTATAGGCATGTATTAATACATTGACACCAGGCTATTGAAACTCGAGTACACTCACATAAGGCCTTTAGAACTGAGATTATTTAACGATCGATCATAAGAAGCATTTCCAATTTCTTTGCAGATAAGCAAAGATTAGAATTAGGAGATGAATAGCAGTCATTATTTTCTTTAGGATATCCATCATTCCTATTCGGAATAATCGCTGTATCAGGAAAGAAGTCAAGCAGATTCTCACTACATCTGTCTTTTTCATAACACTGATCATACATGACCCGGTCAAATGGAAATGAAATGAAGATATTGTAATTCAACGAAGTTAAAGTAATGGATAAAAAAAGTTCCACAAAGATTATCAGTTCAAGAGAGAACTCTTTTTGAAACATCAATAAATGATGGGCAATTCTCATCGCACTGCTATTTAATTAAATAAATTCTTACAGGAATTTATATATAAAACTTGAAGAACAGAATGAAGAACAGAATTTTTTTTTTTTGGAGAATGATATTTACAATTATTTCACAACATTTTATATCAGTTTGTTGCAGTAAATGCTGTATGCATGGTTGTTTAATCTAAATATGAAATTGCGGAATATTCGATTAAAATGTATTTATGCAATGTATGAAAGATAGAATTTGCCGGATATTCAAATTCTTTGATCTTTCTACAGAATCCAATAATACAGTTAATGTGATATTTTTAACTCAACTGAGAATATGAAGAAGAAAAGGAAAACTTTAAAAAGTAAGAAAAAGAGTGAAATGAAACAAATTATTTTATAACAGTCAGTTAATTTGAAAATTTGAAATGTCAGTGCTTGAATTTTACATCTCATTAACGAAAGAATTAATCATGAAAGTTAATATATGAATGAATATGATCTTCATTCAAGTTCTCCAGATGATTCGTATGCTTCAAGCAATTCTGAAAGCTTGAGCATAGTTCTGATTTCATTTGATAATCTAACTTTTGATTCATACTTCTTACACTTCTTTTTGATCCTTACTTTTTTCAGAGTATGAAGTTAAAAAGATGAATGAAACATCCGTTCAATCATGCAACTCTAACTATTCATTTGAAGAAATATTTGCGAAAAAAAGATGTTGATTACTTACCTCCTAAGATATAACTTTTTGTTATACCTTCAAAAGTTAACAAATAAATTACTTATTGATAAACATTTTCTTTTTTTGAAAATGCTAACTAATAATGTAAATCCACACTTATTTTATATCACATTTGCACGAGTTAAGAACAACAATAACTGTAAACAATATGGATGAAATGAAAGTATCTAAAGTATCGTTTCACCATGTAGTTTCAGCGAAACCAATGCGACCATTCCCGAAGTCATAGACATTGCAATAGGAACGGATGAAGGCATCACCGAGAATCCACGATGGACTGAATCCGATACCGAAATTCTCTAGTGCAGAAAAAAAACACAGTTGATTTCCATTGCTGTACTGCTAAACAGATAATATTTTTTGTAAAATATACCATATACCAAAATAGAGCAAATGATTAATTACAAAAAAATTGCATATATTACAGTTTTCTCGTGAAGCTGTCATTTTTATACCGGTCAATATTATTGACTGGATTTTTGTGATATGTGAAAAATATCTTGAAATTTTTTTAATTTGATAAATTGTTATTAAGGCTAAGAAAAAAAAGGTTGATAGAAATTAACAACGGCAGTACCACTTGAACATATTCAACGGGCCGTATTGTGTAGAAAAAACCGCCTATTTTAATTTCAATTTCAGGACCAATAGCTTGCATGACGCAATCAACCACGTATGCTGCATATCGAAATGAATACGTAGCATTGATTTGTTTCATGATTGGCCTCATCAGAAATGCTGGTATTTGCAGGCCGGATGTTCCGGAATCGGAGATTGCTTGTTGCCAGCTATTGCTTTTGTATGTGCCAGCTTTCATACTGCACAGAGCATAAATTTTTGTTAAAAAATAAATAAATGATATGAAATTTAAAATGACCAAATATTTCTGATAAATGAAATGGATCATGAAGAAAATATGAATTCTAAAACAATGATTGCAAAGAAATTAGAAAGAAATGTTGTGGAGAGAATTTTCTTTTTTTTATGTGAAATTAATTTTGATGTAAAAAAATTACTAAAGTGAAAATTGTTGAAGCTTTGTTTACCCTTGTATGGTGAATTGCCAGAAAGTTTGTGAGGTTAACTGTACCCAATTGATCAATGTATCGCAATTTTCGAGATCATAACCACCAAACGTAATTGCGCCTCCATCATCTCCCATTATTGATTCATAATGCCTGCAAGTTGCTCTTTTACAGTCTAATAAATTGAATTACCGTTATATTCAAATTTCTTTTTTTAATAAATTCAAAAAATTCATCAATAACCCATCTTATTTTCATGTTTCAAATCATTGAAACTTTTGTGTTATCACTTGCAGCATATTTTGTATTGAAAAATAAAACTATAAAATTGATAAATTTTATATTCACTTAAAAAAAAACAAAAATTTTTCCAATTTTATATCACTTATGATTAATTGCTAAATGATTATTATTTAATGATTAATTACAATGAGATATCAGAAAACCTACGTGGACATGTAAATTGTTATCATTGGAAAATCAAATTCGTCAATTATATTTTCTATCGGTGTAGTAACGTGAAAGGATGAAAGAGCTGGCCAAGCAAGACCCATTATACCATCAATTGGAAGAACACCGAAGATATGGGCAAGGTGATTTGCTTGACCGAATATTTGCTTTTTAATTGTAAAGTTAGTAAACTATAAATATTTTCGTTTTATTTAAACAGTATTTCTGAACATAATTAAGTGGTTAAAAAAATTCTTCTTTAAATTGAAATAAATTGAAAAGAAAAGAAATGAACTAATTGTGTTGCTAATTATAATGTAAGATATTTGTTGTAATAATATCGTTGTCATATAGAGAGAAATGCGATGAAGTTAATGAGCTAACAGATTTGTTATTTTTGCTTATTGTAGTAGCAATGAAATTATTTAAAGTATGATTGAACAAACGACTTCAATACTTTGTAAAGTATTATAAAAGCACTTGGTTCAATTCATTTTAAATGATTAAAAATATTAGTGAATTGAAAAAAAAAAAAAACTCACTGAAACTTGATCAATCCCAAGTACACCTGCAGAATAGCCTAACTCATAACTTATTGAAAAATTTTGATCATATGATGAATACGTTGAAGATATGCTATAAGAATTATGGAATGAATATTATATTGTCAACATCTTAGCATATTTTTAATTTATTAATCTTGTTTAGTTCGATTATTTACGTATTTTTTTGTTAGCAAAATGAATTCATTCAATAAATTTAACAATATTTTTTAACTTCAACTAATAATCGAATTATCATTATTTAAGAGATGCTTCTAAAGCAATAGTAAAAACCTTGACTGAAATCGATTTTTTGTGTGCACATCATTTCCGATGCACAAAGTGTCGTTACAATCAGTTGAAATAACCCATAAATCTGAGCTTCCTGTATCGGGAATAATCTCGAAACGTTGTGCTGAAAATAAGAAAGTTTATAAGATTTCAGATAAAATATTATTAGGACAATGATGGTCCAATATTTGCTTTGAAATCTCGTTTAGAATTCATAGCCAAAATTGTCTTTCTAAATTAATAATGCCTGAAAATATTATCATTAGGAGTTAATTTAATTAAATTTTAAAGCTTTCCAAGGCAGCTTTGAAGATAGCACCGATGTGTCAGTACTTGGAAAGAAGTTTTCCAGTGATTTATAAATTTATTAATTTCCTGATAGATTTCAGTGAGCAAAAAGATGAATGAAACGGAATAGAAGTGAACATACGTGGTGATCCGATAGTAATATTGAATACATAAACAACATCCATATATTCCCAAAACTCAGCAGTTCCGGAATCTCCGGTCTGTTTCAGCAATGGTTGGATTAGCCGGCTGTACTCCTCTAATTTTCCGGTCCTATAAATATTCAATGTTGAATTGCATAAAATTTTCGGAAATTTTTATAGGTAATCAGATAAAAAGTATTGTAAAGGTAATGATATTATTTAAAAAGTACCATAATTTGAAATCGTAAGAATATTAAGAATAATGATATTATTTAAAAAGTACCGTATAAGTTGTTGACGTATGGATTCAGTTTTCTTTAGCTTGGCACGATATGTAGCTGCGTGAACTGTGAACACGGTATAATATAAAACTATCAAAAACATTGCCGTTTTCATTGTCTAAACTAATAATGACATTAAATGGCATGAATAAGATGAAACATAAAAAATACGACAACGTGAAGATTACGTGACTAATGTTGATGACCTGAAAATATAATAATCATCACTATCATTTAAGTAATATTTTTTCATACCATAAAATTTTCATTTCAATCGTTCATGTAAAATGTATGGTTATCGTAAAAATTAGATAATTGTCGGACAATAGTTCTGATACGGAATTACTTAGTTTTAGAACGTTAAAAACTAGGTTGAAATTTAGTACTAGATTTTAAAGTTAACTAATTTACATTATCAACATTCAAATTACATTGTTTCGGAAGAGCAGTTAGCATCAAAAATGATAATATTGAATTCGATTAGATGATTACGTGCAATGATTGGAACAGTCGAACTCATTCCTATAATCAGTTCTTAACTGTTTGATAAGACGACTAAATGCATTTTTTAGACATCTTAACTTGTGACGATGCTAAGTTCTACTTTAAATGTATGTATCATTCTCGACAAAAAAAATTGATCGCTTATTGTTGATAGAATGATTAAATTACTCATAGCTTATCAATATATATAATTTATTTTCAGTTTAAATATCATTCTGAAAAAACAAGTACTGCTAGAATAACAGTTAAACAGTTAATTTTTTTTCTTCTTTTCTATTCAGTTATTAATTACAATAACAGTTATTAATTTTTCATCGAAAAAAGAGAGCAAAATTTACCAGCGTTCATAATAAGGTTATATAAATTAAGATAAAACTTTGCATTGCTAACTCATTACTTGTTTTTGCTAAAAAAATTCAATTCTGTCGCCGATGGTCCATAAACTATTTGAATTCATCAATATTTTATGTTGACATATCAATGATAGCTATAATTGAAAATAGCCAATGCTATTCAAATATTCTTATTTACTCTGTTTCGATCGTGATGATAGAAGAAAGTTAACATTTGCGGTAATATATCAAATGATAGCATTAACTGCAAACTGACAAGTTCGACTTAAAGGTCAGCGACTTTAAAATGCTACTAACGCTTATGAAGGAAGAAAATAAAATTCGTTTTATTTGCCATTCTTTTTTCCAAATAATAATTGCCCATTTTTGTAATGGTTTTACTGGGAGAAAGTCTAGAGAGGTCCTAGTAATGTGATATTCATTCTTTGGTAGTATTTTATCAATAATGATAACATTTACAATTGAATTACAGTAATGATTGTGTTATCAGTTCCATAAATGTTGGCGGAAAAAAAAAACATTATGATACTCGAGAAATGTTAGTTCAAAATTGAATATTCTCTGCATGAATATAAATATTTCTTACTTCTATTCTGATATTATTGTTTTCTCATCTTCAAAAACTGATAGTCCACTTTTTTTCGAAAAATTGTTTTTTTCTTTTATAAAGACTTGCTAATATTCTGCAAAATTTAACAAATAATTAGAAATAATACACCATTCCGGCGATTTTCATTTATTGTTTCCGCTTTATGAATGCTATCAAATAATATTTTGCAGTCATATTCGTAGTTTTGAATATCGACAATTGTTGTAAACGTTTTGAATAAAATCGAGTACATTGCTTTTTTCCCAAAAACTGTGTAAAGTTGATATTCCCAAGGTCAAGAGAGATTGTGTGTGAAAAAGCAGTAAAAAGCCTGACAAATAATTATTTTTGTTTACAAATAAGCATTTTCTGCAGTTTTAATTTCTGTCATTTAAAAAAAAATAAATCGAGAAATATTTACAGTGTCCAGAATGAGATGTCCTTTTACTTTTGTATATTGCTCTTTAAGCTTGTTTTATCACATATGCAATATAACGTATAAACAGTTTTGATTGTAAATTTGATAACTTATATTAATCAAAATAACTAAATTATAATTCTTGAAGAGAATGTGAACTTTTTTAGTTTCAATTTTGCATATAACTGCTTATGATTTATCGTGATAAATTTTATACAATTGAACTTACGTTAGTTTATATTCAGAATTCTTAGTTATAGATTATTTTATGCTGTCTGAGAAATATCAAAGTTTTAATAGATGGAATGTATCATTTTGATGCATACAATTCATGCATATATAGGCTATATCAAATACTATTTACAATATTTTACAAATTTTCCAAAATTTAAAGAACTCAAGATAAAATGAAATTGATAAAAAACGTAAGAAGTACTGCAGGAAGAAATGCAAAAATCACTTTGCGCCATTTTATCCACGATAAGTAACCGAATTTTTTTCAGTTTCATGTAAAATCATTTTGTAAAGCAATTCAGGATTTCCTATTTTTGATTTCAACTCATTCCATAAATAAACGATCAGATTCTCTGCGGTACTTACGTTATTTTTAAAATAAACAATATCCTTATCCAAATTCTTATGATCCACTTCATCCAATACGATTTTCATTTCATTTTTCAAATTAGCCAAACTGTATACCTGCAAATTTCAAGGCAACAAGTAGTAATTAGGCCAATAAACAATAAATTAATGACATTCACGACAACAAATCAAGTCTTTTTTCTAATATTTAGCAATGATAATTGATGGCATTACTTTCAATTTAATAGAGATCTGCAAATACGCCAAGCAAATCAGACTTTCCCATCTAAGATAACAACCGTTCCTTAATTCTTTTGAATTCTTAATAAACAGATCAATGAACAAGAAAGTCAATTTCAAGTTTTATAGAAAAAAGTTCCTTGCAAACTAAATAGTTCCATCTCAGTCGCAAATAAATGCCAATTCATTTCTATAGTACTATGTATTCACAATAAATGATAAGAAAAAAAGGTTACAATGATTAATTCCAAAGTTCTTTCATATTACTTCCTTACAAGATATACCATTTACCATTCCAGATTTTTGATCGATTGGTCCTCGAAGTGTTACTTCCCAAATATAGTTATGTCCATGACCATTCAAATTGTTACATTTACCATATAATTGATCATTTTCAGTATCACTCAATGTTGCATTTTGTAAACGATGACAGGCCGAAAAGGTTTCACGACGTGTTAGTTCCACTAGTCCCATTCAAATCTATGTGAGATTTTTTTAAAACAAATCTCTATTGAAATATTTCAATCTCATCGTAAATTATTAGATATCAATTACCGTTACACTTTTCCATTCTCTTCTAATCTTACAGTAAATCCTATTCTCCGATATCATATCAATACTAGATGAATAAATCAATACCACAACTTCAACTCACTACTCATGTCAGGTCTACTATCATCAACATTTAAGGAAATTAAAGTCGTTCTAAACAATTTGTCTATTAACATTTGCAATACACTTTTCTTTAATCTTTCAATCCTTTCTTCTCCGCTCTTCTAAGCCTTAACAGGCCGAGAATGCTAGAATTCAGAGTTAAGAAACTAAAACGTCTCTCAATTACATATGTATAATGTTGCAAACAAAAAACTTTCTCACAGATGCACCCATGCAATAAGTGTATAATCTTTCGTTTTTTTTTTTATTTAAATAACAAATAAAATTAGTTTTATACATTACACAGGCAAGAATACATAGATAAAATCAAATCATAATAAATAATCTGAAACTGATATCCCGGAATGAGTAAAGCACAAAAACGATAGATGAAAGGCTAAATTATGGCGATTTTAAGCACATCTGTCAAAATCTTACAAAAATGACAAATACTTATTCGCAGTTTTCTAATTCCATATAAACCGACACTTTCCAATCAGAAAGTATACATAAATCAGCATTATTAAACTAGTCAATATCTACTTAGGAAAGAGTAGGCACTTGTTGATTCATACAATGCTAATGAAACATTTAATTTCATGCCACGATCAAGAGCAGTCACCGATTAAACGAATAGGCATAAGATAAAGAAATAGCTTTATTTCGTTTCATATGCTTGATGTCAAATATTTTGTTTTTTCCTCTTTGGTTCTTCTAGAAAGAAAGTGAATAAAAAAGATGAAAGAAGAATAAGTAAAAATATGCCTTGCAAGTATCAGTATATTATCAATATATTACAACATAGTTAAATCACATCTCTTTTTCGACTTACACTGCTAACGGAATGGAGCTCTGCATAAGGGACATGTTGACTGACTGCTTGAATCAAACCATTTGTACTGCAAATAATAAATTTAAACTAAAATTAATTAGTAATATAACTTGAGTTATTGCAAAAATAAAACATGAATTTCCACGAACTACACTGTGAGAAAATAGCAGATTTTGCAGGTATAGTATAATATAAATTGAATCTGATCTTGAAATCAAATGAGGTAATTCCTATGCATTAAGTACTGTTTATAAAAATTATATCACAGCATTTGTTCATCATTGCAATCCTGACCATTAAATTTGTTCCATATTTTAATTTAATGTCCAAATGTTAATGAAACATTGGAATCAATATCACGTATGGAACTGCTGTTTGCTTACTGTAACTGTTTCTAGTTCCAACGGTACCTTTGTTCATTGCAAATATGTGCTCTTTCACGCAATTTTAATGGTTATGTTACAAAGACTTGATCTGCGGCAAATTAATAACATTACTACCACACTATTTCGTCTCGAAATATTAGAAAAAGATAAAAATTAGATATGAGGAACTTACGAGGCAATCGGAATGGAATCGCTTTCTGCACTGTTTGCATCGTACCCGTGGTAATTGATAAGTTCTTGAATGAACAGTCATCATGCAAATAGTACAATCTTCTGCACCTTCCATATGTTTCTCGATATTACCTGCCCACATTAATACTGCATCCACAATGGAACCATTCTGCAACAGTGATACTCTTTGTGCGAAGTAGTATAAAAATTTTGCAAATTCTAAACACTTGCAAATAAATAGATAAATAAACTATGAACTTTACAGATCTTTAACAACAATTCTGCAATGGACAAGAACTATCAACGAATCAAAATGTTCTGAAGCCCATCATACTAAAATACGAAAGATAAAATAATCTTTTTATTGAATAAATAACAGTGTAATATAACAAAATGTATAATTTATAAATTGTAACACCTGATGAGTGAGAAACATGGTGAGCTGTAAAAGCCATTTCCTTCTTGTTTCCCGACTGACGATGGTTCTTTCATCCTCGATCAAGGGAACACTGAGCGGGTAATCTACGGGATATTCTATTGTGAGAGTCATGGTCGAATCTTCCAAATCGTATTCTGCCACAATTTGTCGAGCTGCTCGCAACAACCGAACCTGCAACGGCTAGCACTTCCTAAGCCCTATCAGCAGTACCATTGTAGTTACTAACTGCTAATAATGAAGAGGAAAATTGTAAGTATCAAATTACATTTCAACAGACATTTTTTCAACGTCTATGTTTCACAGTTCCGTACAATTTTCCAACTCACAGTTAGTAAAATTTTCCGAAAATGCCAATTTTCTTCCATTCAAGCCATAAAAGAGATTTTCATAC